GGCAGCCACCGTGGCACACGGCGCCCTCCCCACCAGCCCAGAGCTGTGCCAAGAGCTGAGGTCAAGCCTGATAGCGGCAGCCACGGTGTCGCTGGAGGAGGAGTGACAAGAGGCGCCGTGGCACAGGGTATTGTCCAGGCCGGGAACGCCGAGCGCCGAGCAGCCCCGCACGCCGCCGTGGACTCAGCTCGGCGTGTCTGGGGCACAACGGTCCCCGTAGCTGCACATGCCGTCAGCCGAGGAAGCGGGCGTCATGGACCGCGCACCACGCTGACGCGAGCCAGGCCAGCCCCAGCTCCCCGGGACGGAGGGCCGGCCACCCACACCACCACAGCCGCCTCGAAAAGCAGAGCTGGGGCGTCATCTCTGTGCATTCCGCTGTGTGGGGGTTCTGGCAGCTGTATTTTCTCGTGCATGCCACACACACACACACACGCACGCACACGTGGTCACACACGCGTGTGCACACGCACACACACACACACGCACACACACGTGCTTCTGATGAACGTTAACCATGAGAAGTGATTTCCACGGGTGCAGCAGGAGACACTCAGTCTACGCTCCAGGTAAAAATAACGGTAACGTTTAGCTACAGGACAGTGCTCGCTTCGGCACCGCGACCGACCTGTGTGACTCCTTGATGTGCATCATTTTCTGGTTACAGCAGGACGATGGGTCACGGAATTTCTAAGCAAGAGCCGAGTGACCGGGCTCTGAGGCTCTAGGTCGTTGCGGGGTGACACTTGGATTGTTAGGGTGGCATGTCGCCTTTAGCCTTCCTGGTGCTTCTCAGCCGGTAACGCTTTCTGCCAAGGACTGCGGCACGGTAAACCCAGCAGATGTAACCACCTGCTTCGCGGGGCCGCTGATAACGCAGGTGACACCCCAGCGAACTGCCGGGGGAGACTCCGGCTCTCCGAGCGCCATGGAGGTGGCACGCAGGGGTGGTGGCCCAGGTGAAGCAGCCGCCAAACTGCAGCGTGTGGTGCCACTTCCCCCTCTGTGACTGCCGACATGGGGGGACAGCAGCCCAGCGGCCGGCTTGAGGCCATCGGCTCGAGGGGGGTTGAGGTCAGCCCGCAGACCCCAACCCTCGTGGGCCCCAGCCTGGACGCTGCCGTCCACAGCTTCGCAGCGATGACCGTTTCTCTGCTGCCTTCATGGTCCAGTTTGCTCCAGATGGGCCGGAGAGCACATGCGGCTTGTTGGGTCCGACCCAGTGGCCATCCGTGCCCAGCGTGAGCAGCGTGCCCAGGTGGGTGGACACGGACTTGGAGCGTGTGAGAGGTCATGGCCAGACTTGGGCTGTCACAAGAACCGTGTGGCCAGAAAGGAGTGGCTTGAGCCACTGACGGGCACCCCCAGGCCCTGGGCACGCGGCCTGGGTGCACACCTCACCTGTGGACACATGTGCAGTGGCCGTGCCCGCACCGAGTCCCTCCGGCAGGCAGGTTCCTGGCGGGCCCTTTTGGACTCGCGGCTCTGGGAGCGTCAGCACTGCTGGCATCAGACGTGGTGACTTCTCCAGAGACACACTGTGCGAGATGACACGGACACACGGGTGTGGCCCCACCTGCAGACACCGCCGTCCGGGCGTGAGAGCAGACGAGCAAACATGAAACAGTTCAGGGGTGCCGAGGCAGCCGCCCCACAGTGCTGGCCACGGGGGACGCGCGTCCAGGGAAGCAGGCCTCCTGAGGGGGTGCTGGGATGTGGACGGGGACGCAGGCGACCGCGGCCTTGACAAGATGACAGACAGGCCCGAGGACAGGGAGCAGGGCGCCCATGCGCGGGGCACGATGGAGAGCAAAGGACAGGCAGGCGGACAGGCTTGTCCTCGCTCGGGGGAGTCACTCAGCCGCTGTCACGGGGGAGCCACGGGAGAAACCAAGGCGCAGACTCGCGATGGCGACGCAGGGACGCAGCGGGGGCGTGGCCGACGGCGAGAAAGGAGGCGGGGTTTGCGGTCAGCCAGGTGGACGCCCGTGAGGGACGGAGGAGGCGGCCGCAGCCGGGCGCACAGGCGTGAGCGGGGCCCCTCAGGCATGACAGCTGTCAGTTTCTTTAGATACTCAGCACTGTCCCCTGATGTCAGCATCCTGTTGGGTGGGTGTCTCCAGAAAGCACCCGCCGTGAGTGACGTGCCTCCGTCCCACGGAGCCGCCCCGTGATTCCAATGTCGCCCCCTTTGGCAGGCCGGTGCGTGTCCCCCTTAGGTGTCCTGAGGCTCGTTCCAGCGATTAGAGTGAGGCGACTCTTTTGCTTTTCGGTGTTTTAAAGTTTCCTCGCAGCGCCTGTGCATCCGAGCAGTGACAGGCGGCGTTTCTCATGAGCGTGCCCTTGGGGCATCGGGCCCGGCCCGCAGAGCGCTCCGCTCGGTTGCTGGACTCCGGCTGCTGCGTGGCTGGAGCCGACAAAGCCCCCGCCCTTCCCCGAATGCTGCGCATCCGCAGACCCCGACCCCTCCCGCAGCCCCGTAGCTGGGAGCAGTGACTCTCCCGACACAAATGCCCTTCTCTGCGCCCCACGAATAACCGCAGTCAGGGACACGAAGCCCAGCTGCGGCGACGAGGTCGGCATGCAGACGCGCGCGTGGTCTGTGAGCGCGCTCGAGCCCGCACGAGCCCGCACGACGCCCGGATGCTTCTCTCCGTGCGTGTTCATTCTCGTGGGCCACAGGCCGCGAAGCACAGCCAGAAACCGCTCCCTCTGCTGCAAGCTTGACCAGCCCGGGCCAGGCCCTGCTGCGGCTCCGCGCCTGTGGCCCCTGGCGACGCTGTGACTCTCCGTGTTCTTCCCTGGTTGAACTGCTCCGCGGCCGTAAAGGCTGTGCCCTGCTCCGAGTGACCGTGTCTCAAGCGCATCACGTGGCCACAGCAGGCACAGCTGACAGCCCAGGGGCCTCAGCGAGGCCACAGTGGTCCGGTAAGTCCCTCTGCTCTGGAAACGCAGGCCAGTATTTCGACTGCCTGATGAGCGCCCCTCCGGGACAGGCTCTTGACCCCTGTGGCTTTGCTGGAAGAGTGTGGAATCACCTGCCTGCCGTCGTTTGCGTATTTGCGGAAGCATGTGTTATAGATACACAAACCTCTACAAGGACAGACCTTGCACCCGCCCTCGTGTGCAACCGTCCCCAGACTGTCCCTTCCCCCCGAGGGCATCGTCACCTCTCTCTGGACAGCAGCCCCTCCCGCCTGCTCTCCTGCAGGCTGAGCCGTCGTCTGCCCGCGCCCCTGCTGGCATCTCCGTCACCCTTGGGGAAACCAGCCCCCCACCTAGGTCTTCGGTCTGGCCGCGGTGCACACCCCTCCCACCTGGCCATCTGCTTCCCCCCGTCCCGGAGTCCTTACCTCCCCAGAAGCCAGCGCTGCCCCTGCCCTCAGGTGGCCCACCCTGTCACTTCACCAGCCGTCCCTCAGGTGGCCTTCCTGAGGCCCTGCCCTGTCTGTGTTCTGTCCTATTGTTACATGATATGAAATTGTACATTATGTGCTTTTCCTCGGCTGTAATCACAATAGATCACCACACACCGGGTGACTTGAAACGACAGGATGTTCTCTCGGGGTCCTGGGGCCAGAAGGCGGAACTCAGGCTGTGGAGGGGCCGCTCCGGGGGAGGGTCCTGCCTCTTACCTTCCGGTGTCCCTGGCGGCCTCGACATCCCCTGCTGTGGACACGTGGCCTCGGCTCCTGCTTGCGTTGTCACGTGGCCTCTTCCCTGCATGTCTGTGTCCAGAGCCCCTTCTCAAAAGGACACCAGTCCTGGGACCAGGGCCGGCCACTCCACTGTGACCTCGTCTTAGCTTGGGCACATCTGCCGCAGACCCTATTTCCAAATAAGGCCACGGTCATAGGTGCCGGGGGGAGGACACGGACACGCCATTTGGGGACATCGTTCAAGCCATAACATATGTTTCCATTTATGTCCATCAGCCTGGGACCACGTTTTGTCCATCACTGGCACCCGCATGTCCACAGCACACTACACTTACCAGGTCCTCGGGAAGTGGGGGCGGGGCGGGTGGCCAGATAAACGGGTAGATGACCGGCTGGGTGGCTGGGTAGGTGGGTGGGTAGATGGTGGGTAGGTGAGTGGAGAGGGGGTAGGTAACTGGGTGGATAGGCAGATGGGTGGGGGGCTAGGGGGCTGGATGGGTAGGTGGGTGGATGAACGGTGGGTGGGTGGGTAGACAGGTGATGAGTAAGGACTGGATGGACAGATGACTGGGTGGGTGGCAGACGGGGGGATGGCTGCAGGGTGCTGTTGGGTTAGTATCAGTGAAGCGGTCGTCAGTGGTTAGGTGGGTGGACGGTGTCACAGGAAGGCGAGACTAACCCGCATTTTCTGCAGATAAGGACTCAACCTTGGGGAGGAGACTCCGTGACATTCACGCACGCCTAACCTGCCACTGGAGAGCGAGCGGGCGTGTGGCGGGCCCCGCCGCGGCCGCACGCACAGAGGCCACGTCAAAGGCCTGAGTGGGCGCTGCCTGAGGCCAGGGGCCTCTTGTGGCACCTGGACACGGAAGAACCCAACACCCGTTTCTTTAAGGCGGGCATTGCGGGAAAGTGCGGGAGGCTCCCTTTGTGCCGAGAACACTAAAAATACCTTTGTCCGGTGGACGCTCCCCATGCCGCATGGGCAGCAGGGGGCTTTTTTGATAACGAATGTCCCCCCCAAGGTGCCTGCCATCCCAGATTCTCTAATGCAGCAAGGGCGGCACCCGAGGGGGCACCTGACGCACCCGCTGTGTGCTCCGGCCTCTGCTGGGGTCCCAGGCCTGGAGCAATGGCCGTCCCTGGGCCTGAGCCGTGGGGCTGCGGCCCGGTGCGCAGTCCAGGCTGGCGTGCGCTGGGGCGGTGTGGGCTGCCGGAGCCCCGGGCAGCGGCACGGCCGTGGGTTTTGTAGGAGACCAGTTGGCCAGCCCTGGAAGAAAGCGTCTTTGTCTGCCACGCTGCTTTGCACAGCCCGTGTTCACATCTCGCTGTTGTTTGCAGGAGAGGCAGATGTGGGCCAGAACAATGAGCCACCCGCTCAGGGAGCAGCGGTGACAGACTCCAAGCGCGCAGCGGACCCGAAGAATGCCTGGCCGGACGCCAGCCCAGCTGACCCCGGGGGCCGCCCCCACTTGATCCGCCTCTTTTCCCGAGATGCCCCTGGGAGGGAGGACAACACCTTCAAAGACAGGCCATCGGAGTCGGACGAGCTACAGACCATCCAGGAAGACAGCACCGCCGCGCCCGAGGGCCTGGAGGCCATGGCCGCACAGAAGAGACCCTCGCAGAGGCACGGGTCCAAGTACCTGGCCTCGGCCAGCACCATGGACCACGCCCGGCACGCCTTCCTGCCCAGGCACAGAGACTCGGGCATCCTGGACTCCTTGGGGCGCTTCTTCGGAGGTGACAGGGGTGTGCCCAAGCGGGGCTCAGGCAAGGTGAGCTCTGAGGAGTAGCGCGTGTGTTGAGTGGACCAGGAAGGGAGTCGGCAGGTGAGCGGGGCCGCGGCGGACGCGGGTCGCCCTCTGCCGTCTGGCGCTGTCCTGGCCGGAAGCGCCGGCTCGCGGCCGCGGGAGGGCTTGGGCTGCTGCTCTCTCGTTCCCCCCTAACTCGCCCTCGTCCCCCAGATACGAGGGGCTACTGTCAGGCCGTGGCTCGGGAACGCAGCACGTTCTGACCTCTGCATCTCTCGGGGGGCCTGGATGCTGGCCTCGCATCTCTCGGGGGCCTGGGTGCTGGCTCCGCGCCGGCCGCCCGGGTCTCAGCTTGGGGCCTTCGGCTGACCTTGCTTCTGCCTGCAGCATGGGCTTCTGTTCTTTTTCTCGGGCGCAGTGCTGCTAGCTTCCTGTTGCTTTGCAACAATGATGCAATTGAGGGCTTTGGAACAGACTAGAAATACAGATTTGCCTTGAGCGAACGTTCTCTCTTGTCGGAGCGGTTTGGCGGGAGGGGGGTGGGGGCGGGGTGGTAAACGCGTGTGTAGTGTGTCTATGAATCAAAGCCGTATTCTTTTGTGATTCCATTCATTTAAAAATCGAGTCTGCGAACTTTCGCTATTTAAAGGTCCTGTAGATAAAAATGTGCCAAAGGAAAAGACGGTCCGGTCCTACTGCGCTGCCCTTTCCCACAGCGCCTCCTGGAGCTGACCGTGCATAGGTCAGGTCACCTGTGGCCCATGAGTTGCTAAAGCGATAATCCGCAAGTGGCATAGCAGAGGCGCGGCATGTCAGGTGGCTTCCGAGTGCGGGGTAGCTGGGTAATTGTGGACGGGGAGTTTTTCAGAAACCCTCCCGGCTTATGCTCACCAATCACGTAAAATGCAGCTTTCTTCCTGCCGTGACTGTGACGGGACTGTGACTGCGTGTTCGGAAGGGCCTTCAGGACCGCAAGGGGCCGTACAGCTCGCAAAAGCCCAGGGGCCACTCGGCGTTAAGGAGTTCCTAAGGTCTGCTTCCGTCTGTAGCTACAGCATTTAAGATGATTGACAAGCGTGAACTCGTTGGAAATGACACAAGTATCAGATCCAGCTTTTGTGCGGTGTCACGACACGTTGAGGTGTCAGACACCCCTTGTGTCTTAGCGTCCTGTCTGGGCTGAGATCTCTTATGGGACACTTGTCGTGGCTTTTGGTGAATAACACTGGAGGTACCTTAAGCGCTTATGGAATTCATTTTCTGGGTGGTTCCTTCGGTATCTGTGGGCATCTTTTCCTTTGCGGCCGCCTTCCTTCACCCTAAAACATCGGTCATCTGACCTATTTCTCACGCTCATTTTAATCTGAGGCGTTTATTCAAGTGCAGGGATCCAACCCCACCAGACCCCAGCCACTTAGTAAAGGCTGCTTTGTGCTAAGCGCCCCATAAGCAGGCAGCGTCGCAGCTGCGTAACCCCAGGAGCAGGAGGGATATATTTAAACTGCAGAAGCAAGGATGTAGCTGGACAGCAAATGTTATAAGACGAGCTTCATTTCAGTGGGCATGGTTTAAGCTGAAATAAAATCGTGAAAGCATTTATATCAATCATTGTGCTTTATCTCCAAATGGATATATAGACCCATACATGTTTTTCGGACTTTGTGTAGAATTATGATCTTTATAGCTTTAAGTCCCTAACACTCAATATGTTCAAAGAGAAGATTCTAGTTCCAGAAGTGGGCGTCTACTTGGCAAAATAGTGTTGCTAGCTTATCAAGGGTCCAGGGAAATCAAAACATTTTCACGAGCTTTTAAAAAAATAAACACAAGGCTTAAATAACTGTTTTAGCGTTTTTGGAGTTGTCGGTCGTGTTCACTGCTGGATGTTGAATCCAGAAGGTTTTAACATGATCGGCTTTGCCCTTTGATGCCCAGGAAGTCAGAGGTGGCAGTAAACCGTGTGGTGGCTTATCACAGACACGGGGAGAGTGTGCTGTCCACGCAAGTGCATGCCACCATGTCACCGTTTGCCACCTCTAAGATAACCGCCCAAGGTGCGCAGGATGCCGGGCGGCCCGCAGGTCCGGGCGGCAGCCTGTTCCTGCTGCTGTGGTCTGGAGACAGCCCTTATCTGCTCATCTGTCTGGCATAGGTTTTCCCAGTAGAATCTCCAAATGCTGCAAAGAGCGATGGCCCCTGGACGTGGGCTGCTTGTCGGGGGCCCTCTGCTGCCCCCCTCCCCTGGAGCTGCCACCCCCTGTCCTTGGAATGCACCCAGCACCCACCCTCTGAGTGGCCAGGGAGCTGACATTCAAAGGCGTGCATTATAAATCCCTTGAGGAAGCATAATCTTTTGAGGGCTGTGAATGAAAGGCGCATTCACGGAGAACACACGCCTTTGTTGGGACGGGGGAGAAAGCAGGGCTGTGGTCGCCTCGAGGGCCAGCTTGTCCAGCTCCTGGAATGTGGGGGTCGGGGGGGGCATTTAGGAGGAAATCGAGTGCACTTGGCTGCTTGCAGAGGGTGGCTTGTCCCCCGCCCGTCCCCGTCCCCATGGGTCCCGCAAGGCCAGCCTCACCCCTGGGCCAGCGTTGCTAACTAGCTACTGAGGCCCAGCCAGCCAAAGCCTGGAAGCCTTCGCTGGGGGAACGATGCTTGTTCCTTGTTCTCTCCAAGTGCCGAGGTCTGAACTAGCTAAGGGGACACCGAGAAGGACAAGTTCCAGGTGGGACGGCAGCGGGGACACGCCCACCTGTCGCTCCCCCTCAGCCCGTTTCTGAAGAGGTTTGAAGCTAGAGTCCGCCCTGGCGATGTCGCCTGGCCTCCTGCATCCACTGGACCTTCAGAGGGCCCTTTACGACGTGTTCTCACCATTCCTTACTCAGTGCGACTTCTGTGGCCCGATGTCGGCCGCGGGGGTGAGAAGTGTCCTTTAATGCAAGGGGTAAAATCGACCTCGTGCATAGATCCCAGTGTTCTGTTTCCTGATTTTTTTCATGGCATCTTAATTTCATTTAACACATTTTAGCTCTGCACTGGCCCAGGACATCCAGGCTGCATATGTGGGTATATTCTGTCACCCGGGGGGGGCGACATGGAGGACACAGTAGAAGCCGGGTGACTGTCCACCTCCCCAGGGCCAGTGGCTGCTGGAACTGCACTCGGCCATTTCGGCTCTCGGGAGTGCAGCCACGCCCGTGGGACCAGATTAAATCCTAACTAGGTCTTCACGGCACGGTCCAGTGACTCAGTGCACCAGTCTGCCCAGAAATTTGGCCAGAGATCTTTCCAGAAAAAAGCCAAATGCACCCAAACAAAAGCATTTTGAGATTTCCTCCAGGAATTCCTTCTGAAGCGTCATCACCCTGATGGGGTGTTGACGGGTTCTTCCCCTGGCTCGGCCACCAGCTCCTCCCCGTGTGCCCCTGGTGCCCTGTCCCTCAGTTGTCCACAGCTGTGTTAGAGCAAGTCCCTGAGCTGGCGGGGATTTCGCTCCATCTTCCTTATAAGTGATAACATTTGTGAATTATGTCGCTGTATTGAATGGCAACTCTCATCTCGCGATTATATTCCAATTTGATTTTTGTGATGAAATTTTGCTTTATATCTATTTCTTGCTTTTATGCATTTATTAAACATTTTAACAGACCGAGGATGGTGTACTAATCGCACGTGATTTTTTTTAAGTTGTCCTTTCTTGGTGTCCCTCCCGTATGAGTGCGTTGGTCACGGTGTGTTTGTGGCCGCCTGACGGAGCCGCCAGCAGGTGCGTCGTGGGCCGGGCACTCGGAGCTCCCAGCTCCCCACTCACCACAGAGACACTGTCCTTTCCCTCCACTCACGGTGGGCATCCTGGTCTTCCCGAGGTGCGTGTCGGACGGACTTCCGTGCGTTTACCCCAGGACACCGCCTGCCAGTGCGGGGACATGGGAGCTAAGTGACGCTTCTCCTGCTGTGTGTCTGGGACACGGTGCACCCCACACTTATGGAATGACTGGGACATGGAAGCCCTAGCCCCTTCCTGTGCTCCCCAGGGAGCTGTGGGGGTCAGAGGAGCGCCCGAGAATCCAAAAGGAGGGGAGGCTGGGGGCTGCGAGGACGCGGAGCGTGGGGCGCAGGTTTGTTAGCAGGATCAGCCGTTGGGCAGCAGGCGGTCCTGATGGGCGGTGAGCTTAGCGTGGCATCGGAGGGACCGTGCCATCGCAGGGCGGCCGCTCGCTGGCGCGCTCGCGGGAATCACGGAGGACTCGATGTAGCATGTGGGGACGGGGACGGTCCCATCGGTCTGGAGGAACGAGCGACCTGAGAGGCTTCCCTTGTGCCTGTCACCACCCTCCTACGTGCTCTACATCACCCCACTTCATACGAAGTCGTTAAAAGAAAGGGCAAAGAAAAGTGGGCGCCTGCGCGGGGCCCACAGACGCGGGCCTGACAGCGCTTCCTC